GAAATGTAAACATTAGTGCAAATCTATTCTGCATTTTTTACTCAGTAAAATAAAGGTTGTAATATCTGTGAACATTAAAGCTGATAACAATGTTTGTGATAAGCTCCTATCGGCCAATTTTGAACAGCCAATCAGGTTCTATGACTTATACGGACAAAATACACAATTAATTCGATTCCAGTAATAAGTTCACAGCATCTGTTTCTGTAAAATAGTTCCACTAGATGAAAGGTTGAAAGATGACTCAACACAAATGTGTCTCTGTCCGTTCTTCCTGTTTGAGAACAGTTACTGTACTTTTTTTGGAAAGTACCAGTTTCCAAAACTTTTGACAGCGTTTTCATTTGTACTTCAAACTTAGACAGTGGAAACCCCAACTGATGTTTGTATGTTGTCTTAAATATCGAGTTCCAGTAAAAGCCAAATTGAACTAAACTTAATTAGAGAAAAATGATCAATCACTGAAACAAGGACACTTAGAACTTTCCCCTTTTAGTCTTAATATAATTGAGAATGAAGAGACCATCTTCTATTTAAAAACTGGTCTGAGACTTAAGGACCCGACTGTATAAACGAACCAAGATACTGAGCTCGAGGAAAACATGAGACTGGAACAATAAATTCTAAAAATCAAAAGATGTCACAACACCTCAAATAGCAAATATTCCAGACTGTGCTGTGGTTTCTCAACTTTTTTATGTGGAACTTCTTCCTGGTGAGTGAGTGTCAGTGATCTGGGAAAGGTCTATGACACCTCAGCTAGGTCATACCAATTTAATTAATTTAATTTCAGTTTTTTTTATGGTATTACAATCAGAGTGTAATAATGAAATTTAACTGATTTATTTCTTTTTAAAATTCTTAGTCTTTCCTTTTTCAACACATTAGACTTAATAGATATTCAAGTAATAAATCACGCTAACTTCCTTCTTTACTGGTCTGACACATTACAGCACACTGGCATTCACCTCATGTGCCATGAGCTTATTACAGCACATCCAGGGGAATTAAGCAGCTAAACTCTATGTATTAATTACCAAAATAGTTATGCTAATGCAATCCTGGAAAAACATTTGGATCCACAGTGATCTTAAAAAGCACTTGGGGAAGGAGTTGCAGTGCAGGTGGCTGTGCTGGTTTGACATCTCTCAAAGTTCGGGAAGGACGGGCCCAAACAACAGAGAACAATTAACCTTGTCAGGCGGAGGAGGGTGAGGCCTCAGACGGGCCCGTGCTGTCATGTAGGAGGTCAAGGCTACAAAAGCTGCACAGCGCAATGGCTGCACAGCGCAGGATGAAACAGGCTTTCTACTGACAGGTTGTTTTCAGAAGCCTGAAAACATTGACTTGAAATATTTATGAGAAAGTAACCCGGCGCATATCAACAAGGTCAGCGGCGAGGAGTCGATACAGCATCAATGGAGCACCAGCAGTGGGGGGAAAGGGGGGAAAGCATGGAGCAGGTCATGGGGGTTTTCTGAACGCAATTAGATTAGCATACTGGTGGATCTAAGAATGGCTGCGGCTGAATTCCAGTGGTGACAACATGTTATTCTCTCCTCAGCTGCTGGTTTTCCACAACAGTAGCTCCCCACTGAGTTTATACTACTTAAACTAACATTTGTGCTACACCACTGTTATTACCACTGCAACATATTTCAGTTTACCCTCTTACACAGTGTGTGTGCATGTTAACACTATAAGCACAAGCAAATGTAATCGTGCATTTTATAATGTGTTTTTGCAGGGGAACATAAAAAAAGAAAAGAAATCAACCCTTCACAACAGCTGAGGCAAACAGAGCCAGCTCCGAGGAACGCCGCAGCCAGTTTGCAGGCCGAGGGCTTATGTTGTTAAAGACTAATAAAGCATGAGGAGCCCGCGGAGAGCAGAAAGGCTCGGTGTTCAAAGGGAGATCAGAGCATACATCTGCCTTTGTCTGAGAGGAAGAATGCCAGGAATGTGGGCTATTTCAGGAAACCTCTATGCATCCAACTCCACTTCGGCAAATCATCGCGATCCCAACAGCACAAGATGGCTGATGAGGAATCAGTGATTCCTGAACCTGCTCATGAGTAATGGTGGCATGTCAAGTCTTGAACTTCCATCTACGTCAGATCGTTCACGCAGCGACGGGATGTTACAATCTGTGTCTAAAAGCAGGTGGAGGGAGATCAGCTGACGACAGTTTGGCTGCAGCCTGTAGCAGCCACTCAGTGAAAGTTAGCCCCACTTTGAATTAAATACAGTGTCTCATGCATACGAAGAAGCTTTTATTTGGGTGTGTGTTTATCTCACCTTCCTCAGAGCCTCCTCCTCTTCCTGACGTTTCTCATAATGTGCAAAGTCATCAAAGATTGAGGTGGTATGCTTGTAAGTGGCGATAATTTTAAGCACTTGTTTGGCCTTCTCCAGGGGCACTTCCTGAGTGTCCCTGGAGTTGGTCACTGGCTTGTTGTCATTGTTCTCCAGCCGGATGTGTCGCAGCTGGTTGTTGGGCACATCTTTGATGAAAACCCACTTCACCTCAAACTTGCCCTTCCACTTGTCCTGAGACCAGACACCCGCATAGGCATTGTAGTCCACCGGTGAGCGCATCTCGGCCACACCACAGAAGTGCCCACTGCCGTTGACACTGAACAACAGGTACAGGGGCCCCTTGTTGCCCAGTGAGCGGTAGGCACCGTCCAGGCGCTTGTTGCCATGTTCTGTACTGCACCAGATAGAGTACTTGATTGAGCGGTGGATGTCATCTTCTGAGTAGCTCTTGATTATGAAAACACGTCCGTTTTTCAAGTTCCAGTCAAAGTCTTTGGAGTTGTAGTTGTTGAGGGCACGGAGTTTCTCCAGCACAGGGTGCACTTCTCCCGAGCAAGGGGAGGCACTGAGGGGGACTCCCCCACCAAAACCGAAGCCCTCACCCCGGTTCCTGGGAGCCACCCAACGGTTAGGAGGCGGGCCGGGCTGCTGGGGTTGTTGCTGATGAAGGGGCTGTGGGGGGCCATGCTGAGAGGAAAGGTGCAGGTGCGGAGGGCCAGGGGGCAGAGGCTGGGGATGCTGGGGGGACTGGAGAGACTGGAGCTGGAAGGGCTGGTGTTGGTGTTGGTGTTGGTGTTGGTGTTGGTGCTGGGGCTGGTGTTGATGCTGAGGGGGCAGAGGGCTCTGCAGTAAGGGCTGGGGCTGAGCT